GTGTAACTGTTCATTAATCTGGGTAATGTGGGTACCAAAATTACCTGATAAGCATGAATATAATAATCTTGTAATATTAGACCATCTGAGTAATGGCATGTCTTTAATGGACGAACTTCCATAAAGAAGTACCAACATTACCTCAGATGAATCTTCAAATTTGTAGAAATTGGATATTTTCAGTTTTCCAAATATGCGTAAATATGCACCCTCACAAAATTCTTGTATTTTGGAGAATGAATTTTCTTTAAACAGAATGTGGATGTTAAATAACTTTGAAAAATACTTCTTTCTTTCTTGTATATCTTTGATATTGGATATAAACTTTCCGAACATTTTGAAGAGAGCTTCAACACAACCAAAATCTTTTTCAATATTATATTTCAATAACTCCAAATCTGCAGCCAATTCTAATAGCTGATCATCTCCTAAAATTACTGAGCTATTGAATAAAACAATAATCACATTATGTAATCTTTTAAAGTCGCAATGATCTACACAATACTGAGCGACTGTGTTTGAAAGTGTTAAAATCTGCTCTGGACTCGATTTCAAATATTTCGCCTTTGTATTTAGAAAAGATAATGTCTTATCTATTAAAGAGGATATCATTGTATTTTTCTGTAGACCTTCGTTTCTAATTAAATTCCAAAGAACTACCAATGAGTTGAGTGTATCCAGATGCATCTGTTCATCATTATTATTCAAAGTTGCTATCGAAGATTTTATTAGCTTTTCAAAATGAGTTTGTGGTGAACATATATATTTATCATTTTTATTGGGTACTGAGCCTAATTCAAAAAATTCACTTGAATGTACTTTATTGTTTTTTTCTAATGAGTTTTCTCCAAGTAGATCCAACATCATTAATTTCTTTATGCTTTTATTTTGAATTGAGTATTGTATATAAAATGCATTTAAGTACCTCTTACAATGTTTAATGTTCGTCTTAGAATGATGCATTAGTTGGGATGAAAATATATCTGGAGACATATTCTTGATATAGTTTTCAAATGGTAGTTTGAATTGATTGATGTATTGGAGAAATTTTAAACCGAATAATATTTTGTAATTAGGTATTGTAGTAAAAAAATTTAATAATAGTTTCATAACTGTCTGTATCTTCAACTTTTCATCTTTAAGTAAATATCTGTTATCGTTTGCAAACATTTCCGCCAAAGTATTTCTGTACTGCTGTGAAGATTTTGATTTTAATATTATTTGCATAGAAAGTATCTTCAATGTAGATATATAAGTATCGTTAGAACCTGTGAAATCAGCTAGTAATATATCATGAAGGTTTTTAAGTTTGATTACATTGTTCTGATTGTGCAGACTAATAATATGCCTCTCTGCGCTGGACAAATCGTTGTTATTAAGCAACCTCACTATTAGAGCTAAATGTTGCTTCACCAATAAATCCAACTGATTCCTAGCATGAATCTGTTTTAATCCACCATATAACTCTATCACAATCTCATGCAACGTATTCATCTCCATTGACAACTTCTTAGTCTGATTTAATATAACATTAAACAAAGAATCTAATCGCTCTCCAGTGCAAACTTGACCCACCATAGAGGGGGAACTTCTTCTTGTCAATTCATTCTCCTTATCAAGACCATCTTTACATATAATTGATTTCCCCTGATCACTCCCATAGACCCTAGCAGGAGTATTAAGATTAAGATCACCCAAGGGCTCTTCTTGTCTATTATGCATTATACTTTTTGACCCAAATATGCAAAAATATACCTAAAACCACTAAGGAAAAAAGGATATACACAGTATACTACCTAAACAAACTGTTGTAACACTTAACAGAACCTCTTAACCCTTACCTGACCTTATCTACCCTTGATCTTAAACTCTTGATCTTCACATAGTATCGACTAGTTTTATTTTTGTTGACATTTTTAATATAGCGAATAAATAATATCATCATCACCATAACAAATATAAGTAGTAAAAACATGTAAACAAGCTCGAAATACTAGAGAATAAAGAGTTGTAAGACCACCAAGGAGCCAGAAACTCATTGTTAAGGCTGACAGATTTGTAAATGTACTTTTTGCTGTATTTCAAGAAGGTTTCTACAGCTTACAGAATAAGTTCTACTCTAAACGAAATAGTGAAAGGTTCGCAAGATTGACACGATAAACTCAAGTTGACTAATAATTTGAAACAAATAGCACCATATGGTGAGAATTGAGTATATTGTCACCATAAAGATGCAGGTGTATTGCTTTAATTTTATCCTAATGTCGAAGCTTTCAACGATGCAATGGTGGCCATAACGCTCTAACTCAAGTAAGAGACTACCAATTTTTATCAAACAAATTGGATCATACAGCTAAATTTAAAATATAAACAATTGACTTACTTTCAGCTGTCCATTCCAAGTGGAACTTACTCTGAAACAAACATCTCTTGGCAATTTTTGATTGATTTCCCTTTGTCGGTTTTTGTATGCCAGGAATTCTTTCGCTATATTAGCTAAGCTGAAAAAAGTAACAACAGACACATTTTTGATGAACTTTTAGGATGAGATGTCTTTAGATAAAGGTCTAATATAAAGGTATTTGAAGGATTCTTAGTTGGTGATATTGGTACTGATATTTATTGTCAGTTGAGTCAGTTGTTTAATTTTGGGTTTTCTCAATACCGTTTCAAAAAACTTTTCAGAAAGCATATCAGAGATAGGGGCAATTTCAATAAAATTTCATTATAATAAGATAAATCATAAATTTATGTTGATCTAGAGGATATTATTGTATTTAATTTGATTAGTAAGTGGGAAAGTGTGTGTGGGATTGTGTTGTAATGATAATTGAATATATTAAGTCGAAAGTTCAAGACTCATGTGGTCTTCTGTTGTACATTTTGGCATTCTGCGTGATATTTCATCTAGCCATTAATGTGGTCTTGGGATTTGTTATAAAGTTTGCAAAATTACCTATAAAACAGTTTTCGCTAGGACCTATTATTGGTACATCTCTGCGATCTTTGAGCATTGCCACTGATGGGTTTAAATTGAAAGTTGGAAATATCAGTGTAAAACTTTTTCCAATACCATTGATAACTCTGCAATCTGTACAATTAGAAATATTAAAGTCTAAAACGCATGTCAATAACATGAGCAAGATTCCAATGGTGGATTCTAAAGAGAAGTTTTTTATACCTACCTATATTAAATTGAATGAAACAGCATTCAAAATTCTGAAATGGTTACTACCAGCAAGTATATATTTCAGATTCATAACTATAAAATTACCAAATAATACAACTATTACATCTGATATTTTATCTATTAAAGTTACTAAATTTACAGAACATCATTTGGTGATGGAAGTTTTTCTAAATAACGTTCTTGAGAACGATACTGGGAACACTATTAAACTGGTTGGGTTTGAGTTACAATCTAAAATACATCAATCAAAGGTCGACAAATGTTTCACAGTAAATGTTAATGAATGGAACACTTTTTTGAAGATATTTGATCTTAATATATCGATACCTGAAACAATTGTAAAAAATCTGATGAAAACCTCAAACCAGACTTCTGCTTTACATCAGGCAGAAGCTAAAACAGACTTGTCGAGTCTGGATATGAATGAGATAGGTAAATTACTGAAAAAAGCAGTTTGCCCATACAAAGGGTTCTTAAAAACTTTAAAAATATTCGACATTAAATTCGAAAATTTAACATTTTCCTATAAAGATAAGGTTTCATTGGCTATTTCTAGTTCTCAAGTTTATTTGGAATCAGTTTTAAATTCAAATTATGGTGCAACTCTGGAGTCAATACCAATAACAGGGCATACATTGGGTGATTATGAATTTTCATTTTCTGCAACCGCCATAAGTTTGAAAGTTAATAGAATTACCTCATTGAGACTTCCTCTGATTAACATAGTTATAACAACTGATATCATGCTATTTTTATTTGAAGACATTCCTTTATGTCATACAAAGGTTGCATATAATACTAATTTTATTAATCCATCAATTTTCTTAAGTGTGGATCAAATTTTAGAAGGTTTAGATATTTTGAACAGAATAAGTAAAAAATCAAGTAAAGAATCGAATTTAACATTGGCAAAACATGACACACCTGTTGATGGAAATCATATATTGGAGACGTTCAATCCATCCGATATTTTTGATAAAATACCTAGTTTCATTTTTGAACTATCCATATCTAATTTCAATCTAACTCTCCAGGTTTCCCCGACTGATAGTGTTATGTTCAAAGTTTATGCATCGTATGCATTATTTAATCATCGTAATATCACTCAAAAAAGACCTTCAACTACGTTGAAAATATTTAAAAATATTTCAGAATTTCCTTTATTAGACGGTGCTACAGAACAAATAAATGATTATCTAAAAATCATAGGGGTCAATGTGACTTTTAAGTCAACAGATAGTGATATCACTAAATATTTTCCAATTTACGAATTTGAAAGAGCTGATACATTTTTTGGTAATTGGTCTACTCCACAAATTGATATTCAAAGTACTTTAAGACGTTCAAATTTTATTCTAAATGATATCAATGTTCTAGATAAGTTGCATTCTTCTATTTTGAAGATTTCAGAAGCGTACACGTTTAAACGGTCGGGTCATGGTCCGTCCAGTAGTTCTGGTACTAGTTTTATGAAGTCATTGTATGTTGACTGGTCAGTACGTTTAAGGATTAAAAATCTCACTTGTTCACTTCTGGTTGCCTCCTATTTACCAAAGTATTTGGATCCATTGGACATAAACGGTTTTAATTTAACTGATGTTACTAGAGGTGTTATAATTAAGGTAGATGAATCTATTCTGCTTGCAAGTAGGAAAAATAAGTCATTCGATATTGTACAGGCTTCTCTGGTTCGAATAATGGATGATATTAATCACACCAGTGTTCAAGATGATCTGGTAAAATTTGAAGATTTTTTAGTTTCATTTGATGAATTTAAGAACACGTCTATAACACTTCCAAGAATATTCTTAAAGGTTGATGTCAACCTATTTTGGTTGTCTTTTTTCTTCAAAGCAATATTCCGTTCATACAAACAGAAAAATGTATCTCTCCGGGGTGAGTCCAAGGACCAAAACTCCAAAGATAATTCTAATGAATTGCAATTAAAAATAGGTCGGATCATTTTGGAATTGGACTTACCACAAGACACTCCATTATTATTTGTCTTCAGAGAAATACAATATTCTAAATCGAATAATGAGTTTTATATTCAATCGATTTCAGGTTACGTCCATTCTGTATATGTTGAACAATTAACGATACATATTCCACTGTTAACCATAAAGAAATTAAGAATAAATTTGAAAGAAAATAAAGACATGGGTAGGTTCAATGTTAAGACATCGGAAATTAATTTGCGTACTGAATACCATTTCAAAATTTACATGATTCTTTCAAGTATAGTAACCACATATAAGTCTATTAAACAGCTAAATTATTCATTCTCAGATTTAAGTGAATTCAATAGATATTACCCAAAAGAATCTAAACCCGTTAAAATTCCTGAGATTAATCTTGTTGCAGACAGATTTATGATTCAAGTGGAAGATGATCCATTTGAACAAGAATTGGGATTGATATTAAAGGTTGGTATTTTAGAACAAAGAGAGAGATTACAAAAATTAAAAGAATTTGAAGAACAGAAGCACAATATTCAAAATGGCGTCGATAATAGTTTGTTATCGCCTCCTCCTAGTGCAATTAATAATGATTTCATTAATAATATTACAGATGAATTGGAGCTTCAAAATGAAGCTTTAGAAAGACTATATGAAAATTTCTCTACTTCTTGGATAGCAAGATACAGAAAAGCTAAATTGACGTTCCACGGAATGCCTCATCAGATAAAGACGTATGAAGAACTGGGTCAAACATATCATCGTTTCACAGGTAATCAAATTATTACTGTAGCTACTCTTACTGTAGAAAAATTAGATATGACATTGAAACCTCCATCTTTTGAGTTAGATAAGTATCCAGAATTTATTCACAAATATGGTAATGGTGTGCCAAAAACACAATTATATACCGTTCTGTTATGTTTAGGGATAGACATAAGAACAATGTTATGGCAGCTAAAGTTAAGAGATTATCCTATCCCAATTGTTACATTTCCAGATACCCACACTACCGGTAATGTAGTATTCGCGGAGAAAATGCCTGGAAACCACTCCTTAAGAAGTACATACGTTCCTTTTGTTCCCTCAACGGCGGCAGAAGCGTACACTGGAGGTAACTCTATTTATGGCTCACATGTAATTGGAACTGTAAATGCGATAAAAACTTATTTTGATATTAACACCAATGTGATGTCCTCCAATTCATCTAGCATTACGTGGGGTAAATCTTTACAACCTGGGTATCAGGCATTAATGCAATGGTTTGATTTCTTAACTAAACCTCAGCTTGATCCTTCTCCAAGATTAGGTTTTTGGGATAAGTTTAGATACCTTGCACATGGTAGTTGGACGTATCACTTTTCTGAAAATAGCAACTTCCTTTTGAATGTAAAAGGATCCCATGATCCTTATAAAATTGCAGATGACGGTGCAGGGCTTTCATTCTGTTGGACTGGCGGTACGGTTGTCAAGATCCATGGAAATGACAAGCCAGAAGATTTCCTAGTGATAGAATCTAAGAAATTTCAATTAGCAGTCCCTGACTTCACTACGACTGATAAGTTCGACAAAACTCTGATGAAATTAGACGGTAAAGTTACATGGAAAATGGGAATGTTATTTGAACAAGGTGATTTGAATAATCCTGGGGATGAAAAAAGATTTAAACCAAATAGGCCTCACTACGATGTGAATTTAATTAATCCAGAATATGTATTTAATAGAGAAGAGTATGATTCATGGAATGGCTTCAGAAGTGATTTCATTCACATGTCTTTTGGTGTTTATTCGTCTCACAAAGGTTCTAAAAATAGTCTGTATTTGGCACCATATTCGATTGGACATTTCCTATCCTGGTGGAATTTATTTGATACTTATACTTCTGGTCCTATCAGACAAGGCTCTTTGTTTCCACATATGATACAAAATAGGAATAAATTTGGCAGATCACTATTTACCATTAAATATCAATTAAACTTGGCGCCACTGACAGTTACCCATGTATATAGGCACGCTACTGCGGAAGATGATAATGGTATTCACAGTTCAGCAACCTTCACTGGTTTGAAAGGTAAGATTAAATCGTTAAGAGTAGATTTGCATCAAAAAAGGATTAAACTAACTCATACAAACGAAAAGCTAAATCGATCTAAACCAGTTTGGAAATTAAGAATGTCTCTAGGGGAAATAGATTGTCAAGAAGCTGATGTGAGAATTATATCCACTGTTTTTGATGAGGCGGCTATTGAAAAAACGTTGGCTTCCAGGCTCGGGCTACGTTGTAGAGATCAGGCGACCTCATATGATAAGGTTTCTGAAGATGTATATTTTTATGACTGGTATGATTTCGAGGATTATGTTGATTTGGATCAAGTCAGCTTACAATCTACTTTACCTGTTAAAATAGAAACAATCCCCCTCTTATCATCTCCAAGAATATCATACTTCAGGAAGATGAACGATGATGGTTACTACGTAAAGTATCCATTTGGTAATGAACACTCGCACAGTTGTATAATTGGTAAAAATCATCCAGAATTGACCCAAGAAAAGTTAGCTCGAGAAAGAGCTCTTTCAATTACAAAACGAATCATGGAATTGAAATCTTTGATTAGAAACATGGATGGAAGCCCGGAAAAGCATAACAACGGCAAACTTTATCAGGAAAAACTAAAAACTTATCACAGTGAACTAGAAGAATTAGTTGCAAGATCAGAAATTATTGATAAAATCCTGAGTGAATTGAAGCTTTCTGAGGACGTTCCTATATTGAATCCAACGAATAAAGATGATAATAACATGGAAGATATTTCTGAATCTGAGTCATTAAATGAGCTAGGTTCACTGTTAAGAACGAATACTGTAAATTCCTTTGTTACAATGAGACGTGCATCTACTATGGCAGTAAAGTCCACTTATGACAATAAATTTCTGATTCATAATGTGCAACTGAGATTAAACAAGAAGATACGTAATCATCTTCTTGAATACGCATCAAGCTCTGCTGAAAGAAAATCGGTATCCTTTTTTTCAACATACAAGTCAATCTTGATAGCAAAAGAGCTTTTATGCCATTCTTTGTCAAATGTAAAAACGTCTATTACCGAATATGGACTAGTCGAAGATACCAGTTTTGCATCGAATGAGGAATTCATAGAGAGATTTGACGAGCTGATAAGGAAAGTGCCAAATGACAACTTCGACTCTATTGATAGCTATCTTTTCCAATTCATTTCTCCTCAAATACAAATTACTTCAGATGTTGAACCGGAAGCTGCAATTTTGTTAACAGCTAGAGATATTGAAGTAGGCATCATCGATGTTATGCAGGTTATGACTCAATCGGGTAAAACTATGGAAATGGATGTTAATACAATTGTTGAATCGAGATACTGTACTGTTTCCAAAGACATTCAATTGTTTACTCTTTTCAGGAATGAGGCATTAACATTTAATAGCTGTAGTAACTTCCGGGGTCATGACTACGGTTTAGGGGAAGCTTCTTCTAATTGGGCTCCGTGGGTACCATTGGAGCTTTGTTTTGATGGCTCTCTAATGGATGAAGATATTATTTTAAGGCGCAGATCTTTGTTTTTGACTTACAATAGTCCAAATCCTTTATACTTCAGTGAAAACAGCAGTAATAATATATCTACAGATTCTAAATTTCACCTTGGATTTCCTAGTTTGGTAGTTACCTCCACATCACAACAATATAATACAGTTTATAATATTGTTGAAGATATGATGTCGTTGGATTCTTCATTGGACGAAAAGGCAGAAAAATTATCCAAACTTCTATTGGCTGACGAAGTTAGGAATAATTTGGAAAGGATTGATATTAGTGTTGTTACGAATCTACAGGACAAGATTAAGGATTTATACCATGCCCGTGCATTTTTGAAATCGTACGAACCGACGCTTTATAAAACAGCTTCACAAGATCTTACTTTGGAAATCCAGGCTACTGTGTTGGAATTGTCTGTTTTGATGACTGCCATTATGAGAAATTATGATAGATTTGGTAAAGAGAATCATGTCAGAAAAATTTTAAATTGGAAAGTTGGGACTGATGATTTAATATGGGAATTGTATGATGAAAATAAATCGCCATTTATTACGATTGCCCTTGGTCCTTCTTCTTTTGTTCGTTCACAGACTGTTGATGGTTCAAATAGTAATGTTGTGTCTATTCGCTCGCTACAGGTATTTAATCAACAGAAAAAGGTAATATACCAACAGTTGGTGGCGCCATTTGAGGAGCATCCGAATTATAGTAAAGATATATCTATGTTGGAAATATTTTGGTTGCTAGGTGCACCTGTCGGTGGTATTTCTGTATTGGAAGAAATGATTATTTCTTTCCAACCGGTTTTGTTTAGAATGGACCATATTACAGCTGATAAAATCATGAATTACTTATTTCCTAAAAATTCTACTTCTAATTCGGTAAAACCTCGTTCTATTTCACCGCCAGCAAATCCAAGAAAAAGCAATTCCTCTATGCACTCACTTTCAGCTGTGAAATCTGGAAATAAAATTATTCGTGATTCACAATCAATCAGAGAGCCAAGGAGATCTACAAGTAATTTTATAAGACAGACAGATGATAGTATTAATGTAATGGTTCAAAGATCTGGTACATATTTTATCATCAAATCAGTTGTTATTAAGAAAATGCTAATGTCCATTTCCTATAAAGGTGCACACGGTCTTTTAACTAATGTGGATGACTTAACAGTGAAAGTTCCAACTTTGCAATTCAGTAACAGGCTCTGGTCTAGGGATGAATTTTTTGCTGCGGTAAAGAAAGACATTAATAAAGTTGTATTGCAGCATATGGGAAATATTATTGGGAATAAGTTTGTACCTCATCGAAAAGAAAATAGAAAGAAAATATCCACAGAAATTGCAAAATTACTACATTCTGATTCAGAAAGTGTCAAGAGTGGATCAGGTTCAAGCCACACTACTCCGACAGAAAATATACCAGTTGTGATATTAACTCCACAGGAACACATGGTTAATGCGATTGATAGTTATGATGCTGATGGTGAAAGTATTAAGCCATTCTATCCGCTTGAAAGCAGTAAAGAAATTTAAAATTCTAATGATGAAAATCTTCGTTAAACTTTGTATTATATTTAAACTTTTATATTTTTTGTATATTAAATTAAGGACACTTATAGATTTGTGAGTCCTGTAAGACATATAAACAACTAATAGTTCAACTTGGATAATTCTTATTGAATTGTGTCGTTTGCCTATTCTTTGTGAATTTTGTTAGGTCTTTAGAATCCTACTAAAGAAATGCTTGAAATCAAGAATAATATTTACAGCATTGTGCAATATATCTAGGCTTTAGAAGCTCTACTTTTTCTGAGAGTAACCTTTTAGTTATTCTATTAGTATAGTATATGCTGATTTGTGTATTGTTTCGACATAGCCGCGCAAGAATGACCGTATCAGATATATGCCCAATAATATATTTTATTATTGTTGATTTTGATAAGGATTAACGAAGAATACTTTTAAATTTAATCTCATGATCAATCACTTACAATTTATCGTATTATAAGCTTTTAAAAAGTCAAGAAATTACGGGCGTGTGGCGTAGTTGGTAGCGCGCTCCCTTAGCATGGGAGAGGTCTTCGGTTCGACTCCGGACTCGTCCATTTCTTTTTAATATTTTTTTTATTTTTACAGTATAAATCTAGGTCCCAGAGTATCGTTAGCAGCATTATTCCAGTACAGATATAAACAAAGGTTCGCCTAACCACATCACAGGAAATATACCCAACTGAACTCATCATTTATTGAATATTCCCGATATTTTTTATATATTGATTCACTTTAAGTTCCTAAAAACATGACTTCTAAATGATTTCGTGCCAATATTACAATTAAGGCAAAAAACTACAACGTAAAATGACTAATCAGGTGATTATTGGAAGTATATATGAAATCAAGATATAACTTTTCTCATCTAGATTAGATAGCCTTGCTTTAAGTTAGGACAGTGGTATGTCAAGAAATTACAACTCCTTTTGATTTATATCTGTGACAAAAGCTGAGAAGTACTTTTCAAGAGTCTGATCTCCCCTTAACCAATGCATTCACACCACTCGCACTCTGGGGACTATGTTGCCCATGGTGTTGATAAATTAGAAGATATGGTTTCCAGAACAATTGAATTGGAATTTCAAATATACTGTCTTACTGAACACATGCCTAGAATTAATTCAAAGTTTTTGTATCCAGAGGAAACTTCTTCAACTAAAAATGATACAGAATCATTAGAGAAGTTACAAGATAATTTTTCGAAGTTTTTGAGACATGCAAGTGAAATTAAAGAGAGAAACTCATCTAAGCCCACTGCATTTATAATTGGTACTGAAATCGAAGGTTGTGATATCGAACATATCGATTATGCTAAAACAATACTTGAGAAACATAAAGATACTATAAAATTCGCAGTTGGTTCTATACACCATGTCAATTCAATCCCAATTGATTTTGATCAAAAAAATTGGAATAAAGCATTATCATCATCAAAAAATAACATCAAGAATTTCTTATTAGATTATTATGAACTTCAATATATAATGCTTCAAAAATTGAAACCATTGGTTGTTGGGCATTTTGATTTATACAAATTATTAATACCCTCTGATTTGAAAATAAATATCCATACAGGTGACATAGCATATGACGATGATGATGTTAACAACATGATGATATCCGATATAGAACTAGAAAACAATTGGGAAATCGTACAGGCTACAATAATTAGAAATTTGAAGTATATTAACTCTTATGGCGGATTAATAGAGATAAATACATCAGCATTAAGAAAAAATTTATCAGAACCTTACCCTGGATCAATTATCTGTAAATTGGTTAAGGAACATTGTCAAGGAAGATTTGTTCTGAGTGATGACGCACATGCAATTTCTCACATAGGTACCAATTACAAAAAAGCATTAGAATATATGACTGACACTATCCACTTGGATGAAATTTATCATTTAGAAGAGACCTCTAACGGTGAAATCAAAGTGGTATCACAGCCATTAACCGAATTTTCAAGATCAAACTTTTGGAATAATCTTGATTAATCGAGAGCCATTGAATACAACAGGCCCGAATGCAATATGATATCCAATGAATAGAAGATAAAATGATAGATGTCGTCATCAAAGTATATATTGTTATTATTATTCATATCAGACCAGTCGTCATTGGATTATCTTGGCTTGGCCTGGCCTGACTTGCTAATTAAGTCTCACTGTTACCACCATCATCTTGATTACGTCCACAATGACATTGAGATATCACCAGAACACTAAATACGAACCGATAGTTTTTTTTTTCATCGTTTCGAAAAATTTGACTGAAACCTTTTTCAGCTTTGAAGAAAACGAAAAGAGCTCTCTCATCTGGTCATCATCAGTGAGTAATATTCGAAAGTGAATTAGATTAAACTAAATTTGCATCATTTAGATAATTTATATTTATTATAAGGTTTCATTCTTATTGAATTGCATTCTTGTTTCTACTCCTTTTTAGAAATTGTATTTTAAGTAACTTTTTTTACTTGTCTATTCAAATATTAATTTTTTTTTTTTTATTTTAGATATAGATCAGTAACATCACTATCAACATCGATCAAATTGATTTATTGATCAATTGAGTGCATAATAGAAAACTATAGATTAAATAATGTCTTTGTACATCAACGAAGCTAGTGGTATTGACGAATTGACTGTCGTCGGTTCTCAAGAAGCACCATTCAAGACTCCAGCTTTTGCTTTATATGCTTCTCAAGAAGCCAGCGCTACTGCTGAAGAACCAAAATTATTTGTGTTCAAGACAGAAGAAAATTCATACTTAGAAATCAGTCCATCTGCTTTAAAGAAGGCTCGTAAAGGCTGTGATGGTTTGAAGAAGAAGTTGCTAAAACAAAAGGAACAAGAATTGAAAAAACAAGAACAAGCTGCTGCTAACGCAGCCAAGCAAATGGCAGCTTTGAACATAAAGGTTGAAGAGGATAAATCTTTACCACAAGCTAAGAAAGTTAAAATTGATAAATCTTATGGTTTATTGGATCAAAGAGTTAAAATCTCTGGTTGGATACATAGAATGCGTTCAAACAAGAAAGTTGTATTCATCGTCTTGAGAGATGGTACTGGTTATATTCAAACTGTCTTATCTGGTGATTTGGCCCTAGCTCAACAAACTTTAGATTTAACTTTAGAATCTACAGTTACTTTATATGGTACCATCGTTAGTGTCCCAGAAGGTAAGAGTGCTCCAGGTGGTGTTGAATTAGTCGTCGACTACTATGAAGTTGTTGGTTTGGCTCCATCTGGTGACGAAGCCATCACTAACAAAATTGCAGAAGGTGCTGACCCATCCTTATTGTTAGACCAACGTCACTTAGCCTTGAGAGGTGAAACTTTATCTGCTGTTATGAAGGTCCGTGCCTCTCTATTGAAAGCCATCAGAAGAGTCTACATAGAAGAAGATATCACTGAAGTTACTCCACCATGTATGGTCCAAACACAAGTTGAAGGTGGTTCAACTTTATTCAAATTAGATTATTACGGTGAAGAAGCTTACTTGACACAATCTTCCCAATTATACTTGGAAACCTGTTTACCAGCTTTAGGTGATGTTTACTGTATTCAAGAATCTTTCCGTGCTGAAAAATCTCACACCAGAAGACATTTGTCTGAATATACCCATATTGAAGCTGAATTAGCCTTCATTGACTTCAACGATTTATTGCAACACATCGAAACTTTGATCGTTAAGAGTATCCAATACGTTTTGGAAGACCCAATAGCTGGTCCATTAGTTAAACAATTGAACCCAGGTTTCGTTGCTCCAAAGGGTCCATTCATGAGATTAGAATACAAAGACGCCATTACATGGTTACAAGAACACGGTATCAAGAACGAAGAAGGCAACGACTTCCAATTCGGTGACGACATTGCTGAAGCCGCTGAAAGAAAGATGACCGACACTATCGGTGTCCCAATTTTACTAATAAGGTTCCCAGTTGAAATCAAATCTTTCTACATGAAACGTTGTTCCGATGACCCTCGTGTCACTGAATCCGTCGATGTCTTAATGCCAACTGTTGGTGAAATCACCGGTGGTTCAATGAGAATTGAATCCACCGAAGAATTGATGGCCGGTTTTACTCGTGAAGGTATCGACTCTAAGGCTTACTACTGGTTCATCGATCAAAGAAAATACGGTACTTGCCCACACGGTGGTTACGGTTTAGGTACTGAACGTATCTTGGCTTGGTTATGTGACAGATTCACCGTCAGAGATTGTAGTTTGTACCCACGTTTCAGCGGTAGATGTAAACCATAATCACCCTTACCCTCCCCACAAGCTAAGATCACTGACATTTACATCTTTCTATATACATATCTATCTTCTTTCTAGAACAGTTTATACAAGTAAGAAAAGTAATGTAACAAGCATAGATCATTAAACCTAATACCTTTCTCCCTACCAACTAACTACACATAAACAACAAATTATGACGTGTTCTTATCCCAAAACAATTTACAATTCCTGTCATTGGCCTAACTTTACTCACCTGATCTATGACAGATTTTTTCAACTTTTTGTTTGACTCATCTTCTTTTAAGTTCGGTTCGGTTTCATGCAGTATAGATTGAGTCATCGTATTTAATAGGCAACAAGTATTGAAAAAAAAATATTGAAAAAAAAATGGTAGTGCAGTTTACGAGATATACAGATAAAGATGCAATATGGCTTAAGGAATCAATTATGGTGAATATCTACATATATAAATGGATGGAGTTGACAGCAGTTTGGTTTGATTCTTGAGTCTCTTGTTTGTAGTTGGTTTACACAACTTTTTCTTGCAAGGTTGGAAACAAAAATAAAGCATCGATCAACAATAGAAATTTGATTTCACAATTGATCTAGTAATAGTTAATAAGCCAATTATATAATAATCACAGCTATAGAAAATGTCTAGTCAAAAATTATGGGGTGGTAGATTCACTGGCGAAACAGATCCTTTGATGCATCTTTACAACGCATCTTTGCCCTATGATTATAAAATGTACAAGGCTGATTTAGAAGGTACAAAGGTTTATACACAAGGTTTAGAAAAATTAGGTCTTTTGACTGAGGTTGAATTGTCAAAGATACATGACGGTCTAGATGCAATTAAAAAAGAATGGGATTCCGATTCTTTTGTTAGACATCCGAATGATGAAGATATTCATACTGCCAATGAAAGACGTTTAGGTGAATTAATTGGCACTGACATTTCTGGGAAAGTACATACTGGTAGATCTCGTAATGACCAATGTGTTACTGATTTAAGAATTTATTGCCGTGACATAATTCAAGATAAGCTATTACCTTCTTTAAAATCTTTGATCCAAGTTTTAGTTAAAAGAGGTGAGGGTGAAATTGGCATCTTAATGCCCGGATACACACATCTACAAAGAGCCCAACCTATTAGATGGTCTCATTGGCTAAGTTCTTATGCTACTTACTTTACTGAAGATTACAAAAGATTAAAGCAATTACTAGATAGACTAAACGTTTCTCCCTTAGGCGCAGGTGCCTTGGCGGGACATCCTTATGGTATTGATAGAGAATTCTTGGCTAATGGATTAGGTTTTAATGGTGTTATTGGAAACTCTCTGGTTGCAGTCTCCGACAGAGATTTCGTGGTGGAATTATTGTTCTGGGGTACTTTATTCATGAATCATATCTCTCGTTTTGCAGAAGATTTGATTATATATTCCACTGCAGAGTTTGGCTTTATCACTTTGAGTGATGCATACTCAACTGGTTCTTCATTAATGCCTCAAAAGAAGAATTCTGATTCTTTGGAATTGTTAAGAGGCAAATCTGGTAGAGTCTTTGGTAATTTGAGCGGTTTATTGATGAGTTTAAAAGGTATTCCTTCAACTTATAACAAAGATATGCAAGAAGATAAAGAACCATTATTCGATTGTTTGACTACAGTAGAACACTCTATATTAATTGCTACTGGTGTTGTCTCCACCTTAAATGTCCATAAGGAAAAAATGGAAAAAGCACTAACTATGGACATGCTTGCTACTGATTTAGCTGACTACTTAGTTAGAAAAGGTGTACCATTCAGAACTACTCATCATATCTCAGGTGAATGTGTTGCTTTAGCAGAAAAGCTAAATTTATCTGGTATCGATAAGTTGACATTAGCCCAATTCCAAGAAATAGATCCAAGATTTGAGCAAGACTTGTTTGAAACTTTTAACTTTGAACAAAGTGTCGAAAGAAGAGATGCTATTGGTGGCACAGCCAAGAAGGCAGTGTTAGCTCAATTGCAATCCTTACAAAGTCAACTATGATAAAATTGAAATATATCCGTTCAAATTTCATATTTACACTAAGCATTAAATAATTTTTTTATATACATTGTAGCATACCACTTTTCATTCAGGTTTTTAAATTTATATTACTTTAATAATCAATCTGCCTATAACTGATGATGAAACCCAGCTATATCTTCCAAAATAGAATGTTCTTGACAAACCACCAAAGGTAACAATTTTCAAAATGAATTTCTGCAATAGGTTACCACTATGGTACATTATCAATTTAAATGTAGGAGTCAGTAGTGAAGAGCTTATAGGTGCACCTTCTAAATTTAGATACTTATAATTTGAAGGTTGTCCTCCAATCTGAATAATTCCTAAGTTAACATGGTAGATAGATAATGTATTGTATGATTCCAAAGTTTTAGAAATGGATTGGACCATTCCTGATGCTATGATTTCTGCTGAATGATGAGCTATTCCCAAATTCGATGATAACGAAGGGTTAAATAAAATGCATTGTGTCGTTTCATTTCTAATATGTGGTACAATTTTCGACAATGCGTTATAGTATAATAGAATATTTGAATGTAATTCTCTTTCTAATTGGTCTAGTGAAATTTCACCAGAAGGATAATAAGAGCTGTTTGGCATGAATAAAATAGAAACTAATTCTACTGGATTGCTGTGGGGTTTCCTTAAAAACTCCAAGAAATTAGATAGATCATTCACAGACAATGGGTCAATAAAACGCAAGAATTCATCACCATTATCCTTTTCCTTATATTGGTTAGCATGCTCTGTACAAACAAATACTATGAATCTCCTTCTATACAAATCCATCACTTGTGAACGTACAATTGGATCATGCATATCACCAAATATTAAAACACATTTTAACTGAGGTTGAGTTAAATACTGGGGCACTGATAATGCCTTCGTTAATTTCCAAAATAATAATACGGAAGTAGCAGAAATACCGATACCTAAAAATACTTTAAAATTTAATCTATCATAAACCCCAGTAACAAATTTTGAAATATTTGTAGGAGGATTATTGTTAGTAGTCCTAGGCAAATAATTCCCCTTTGAAATAACATTCACAACATCATCATCACCGGAATCTTTAATCGCAGTCAAAACTTTACTTTTGACACTTGAAGCAAGTTCGGATCCACTGCTAAACAAGTTATATCCGGTATCAAATATCTTATCAACCAAATCTTTATCAGATGCCATCACTGAATATTCTTCCTCCTCTCAGCTGATTCGATGCTTTTACAGTTGCAAAAGAGTCAAAAAGCTAACCTAAACTCTACAAGAACCAAGTCTAAAATAACAAATTCACATAATCCATTTCAAGATCACCCCGAAACACTAATTCCAAATCTATATTAAGCTAATGAATCAATCCATTCATTCATTCATTCAATCATTCTTCTTCTTCTTGGTCTTTCGATCTTGATCTTGATCCTGTCGATGTTCGAAACTGTTTTAAAAAAACGGTCCCTTTCCAAAAACGGGATAGGTTAACCCTTTCGAATAAGCCTTTCGAAGGGTTAAAGCCAGTTACTTCCGAAGGTATTTCGAATCGAATTAACGAAAGGTTTATTTTATATAAGGGAGGAGGTGAAATAATGTGAAGTATTTGAATCGAATCGAGTTAAATTTATTTATTTATTTTAGTTTAGTTTAGTTTAGTTTAGTTTAGTTTAAGATCAGGAATCTGTTTTATTTTGGTTTATAAAATAGTTTGCTTAGGTGTTCTAAATTAGCAATTAAAAATAAGAGAGACACACACACACACACATACACGCAGGTATATATATATATAGATTTTACAGATAATAAAAATGGGTTTAAACAATCCTGTTCCAAGTGATTTAAGATCAGAATCCAAGTATGTTACTTCCTTATTTCTATTTGATTTTGTCAATTATTTCGAAGTGTTGCAGAGTTTATAGTTCTTTTTTATTTCTAGAATGGATATGCTTCATGGTATTCAAGTTTTCTTCAATGGGAAGTCTTCTAATTACTCCATGATACATTTTATTTCATTTTAGATGTAAAATTGGTTATATACTCTGAATTTTGATAAGTTTCTAGTATGGATGCTAACAATCTATTTATCTTAATTTGTATTTGTCTAGGAAAGCTGCTAAGATTTTAGCAAGTTTTGTAAAGCCTAACCAAGTATTAGGGGCTGATAAAGTTATTCCACCTGATATTTAAAATGAGGGGGGGGTTTAGCTATTATTACTGTTTAAAAGCAGGTTTTTATTTCTGGTAGGCTGGTCCAGGTTCCTTGTGCTAGAATAAGAGATGCCACTTGTTCTGTTCCTCTGCCCTTGTATGGCAGGTGCAGGTGCAGGTGGTTGATCGGTGTAGAATTGACGGACTTCGTTTTCATCCTAAATACTGAAGAAGCTGTGAGATCATTCTCAGAATTTGGTACCATCACTCTGGGTGGTAATGTATCTGTGTCTGCAGGTCCATTGGGTAGAAGTGCAGAAGCTGCTGGTGCGGCATCAACTAGTGGTGTTGCTGCCGTTTTTGCTTATTCGAAGAGTAAAGGTTTATTTGCCGGTGTTTCTGTAGAAGGGTCTGCAATTGTAGAGAGAAGAGAAACAAATAGAAAGTTCTATGGTGAAAACTGTACCAGCAAAATGATTCTATCAGGAAAAGTAAGAGCACCTCCTTCTGCGGATCCTTTATTCCGTATCTTGGAATCTAGAGCTTTCAATTATACTTCCTATGGTAGTGGTAATTACTATGAAGATGATGGCTACGATTATTACGATGATGACTACTATGATGATATCCCTGATACAATCTATTCAACAGATGATAATTCTTTCAAGCCAAATACAAACTCATCGAGAAGGGATGCATATAACTCAAGAAATAGAAGAGGATCGTCTGGCAGATATGATGATTATGATTACGATGACGGTTATGATAATGACAGAGGTTATGACAGAGGTTATGATCGAGGTTACGACAGCGGGAATGCGCCAAGAAGAGATGACAGGTTATCTAGATCAAGGAGGGATGACTACAATGACGACGATCGTGGTTACAACAGAGGACCTGGGAGAAATTATCATAACGAGTCTGATGACTTCGATAGAGGTAAATTAAGTTCAGACAGGTCTCCTAAAAATTACGGACGTGATGAACGAAGAGCTTATGGAGATGCTGATAGAGGTTTCCCACGCAGGGAGAGAGGATATTCCCAAGGTGACAGAGGCAATTTTAGGAGAGAAAGAGCTTATTCACAAGGTGAAAGAAATTATGATCGAAGAGAAAGAGCATTTTCACAAGGTGAGAAAGATTATAGCCGTGGACCAAGGGGTTTATCTGAGGGCAGAAAGGATTATGATCGTAGGGACAGAGGATATGAGTCAGGATCTAAAAGGGTAAATGAGAAATCTGGTTATGATGAAAAAGTAAATGAAATCTCCGATAAACTTTCTAATTCAAAAATTGTAGATGCACCAAGCAAGTCAAGACCGCCGCCAGCTTCTAACACCAAAGGAACAAAAGCAGTTGCATTATACACTTATGAAAGTCTAGAATTTGGCGATTTATCGTTCAAAAAAGGTGACATTATAACAATTATCAAGAGAACTGAAACTCAGAATGATTGGTGGACAGGAAGATTAGGAGACAAGGAAGGTATTTTCCCTGCAAATTATGTGGAAATTGTCTAACCAGCAACATTAATTTTCTAAATGACGTTTTACATATTCTGTTTTTGTATATAATTAAAAAATGGTTAAATACTATTAGTTGAATTTCAAATATTAATCTTAAATTTGAATCTAACTTTTTTGATTACCTTTAAGTTGATCATAGGATATACTAATATTCAAAATCTAATATCTTCCAAAGCCTAAATAATTGGCTGAGTCCTCAATTTGTTTCTGTAATATCCCTTCATTATATGTACTTGAATTTAATAATGAAAGAAAAGTATTAAGTTTCGATACATCTTTTGACCAATACATTTCAAAAATGTATTTAGTTATACAGGTCAAATTTGACTCCCTTGTTGCACTTGGAAATTTTAAAAAGTCTAAACCTTTTTTAACTTGTCTTCTTAAGAGTTCCAATACATGTTTTTTGTTAATATTTGATTTTGGTAATAGTGCTCTTTGGTGTACAATGGCTTGTGGAACAGAATATCCCTGATTTGGCAAGGAATTTAATTGGTTGTTGAGGTTGAGGTATTGATTTGGATATTGCGGTATAAATCCAATATTCCAAGCCGGATTATACACAGGTATATTGATCTGTACTGGATTCGTATTTGTTTCCGAAGACGTATTCTCTTGTTTTAAGTTGCTAATAGGAATGCCACCGATGGTATTTTCCCAGGAAGCTGACACGACGCTTCCTCCGATTAACCGATTTCTAATAAATTTAAAAAGTTTCTTTGCATCAAATTTTGTTTTACATTTAACATAACCAGAAAATGTCAAAGGATCTTTATTATATGAAGTTATTTCAATGGAATCGATTTTTATGGATTCCTGAATACAAAGTTGAGTCAAAAATTCTTTGGTGCAAACAGTACTTAGGTTTCCTAAATATATGGTTGATGTCTTTTTAATTGAATTATGGAGGTTTTTAGGACTTTCGTTACTTTTTAACTTAGTTAATTCAAAAGCCTTAACGACATGTCCTTCAACATCTAACTTATTAATATTGTTTATTATTTCCTTAGTATTAGTATTTTCTGAATAAGTGATTACAATTCCTATATTTTCCCCAATGCTCTCTAATCTCTTGGTGGATTCGATTGACCCAAAATTTCCAAATATAGAAGATATTTCATAATCACTAATCTCCTTTGGCAAATTCTTAACCAAAATTGATTTTCTTTCGGTAGAGTGTTCATTTGGTCTGCAAATTGGAGTTAATCTATGGCTACAACTTTCAGAAGAAGCTGATTTTTGTTTCTCAGTCCCTAGGTTTTTTCTAATTGATTTATCTATATGGACTCCACAGTTAATCTTATAACCGTAAAGTAACTCATTGGCATTAAATTTAGAAATTACTTCTTTTGCTGAGCTTTCATTTTCGAAAAATATAAATCCAATATTCTTACTTGTATTTAATTTACATGAAAGAATATTACCATAGGCTTTAAAAAAATTATAAAAATCCCTTGTTGTAATGCTTTTTTCAGATAATGGTAGGTCAGAGAAGAACACATTTGTACCCATATTTTTACGAGTTTGTGAATTCCTTAGAGATGGCATTATCCTTACAACCTTGCCGAAAATGGGTGTGTAATTGAAACGTTCCATTAAATCATCTGCTTCTTCTTTGGTTGTCAAGTTAAGATATCCATAACCTAACGATTCACCAGAATGTGAATCAACACATATTTTTACTGAAAGCAAAGATTTGTACATTGCGAAGAAATTTTTCAACATATCTTCTGTAACAAATTTTTCCAAATCTCCAATATAGAGGGCAATTGATTGCTTACTTTCAATAACATTGTTATTTTTTGGAGCAATATCATCCAAGTTTTCATTTTTTTTAGTTTCATTGGTTGCCGCAGTTAATTTAACAATATCTGACATTTCAGTTAAGGAAGATCTAGTTGACACTGAAAAATTTTCTTCCTTTTCATTGTGTAAAACTGCTGTTATTTCTTTAATCCCAGATTTTATCAAGCTTTTGGTAATATCATTGTTATTCTTAGAACTGTCATTTTTTCTTTGAACATTCAATGGTAGAGTATTTAAAATACCGCTTTTGCTTAGCATTATAGATAGTTCGATATTCTTTTTTATTTTTTTTTACTTTCCTTCTGTTTTTATTTATTTATTTTTTAAAAAAGAAAACGAATTCTATTGAAGTATTCCAATTAGTTTATTAGTATACGATTTTATTTCCAAGATCTTAATTGACGTTACCACTGACGATAATAATTGACATTAGATATTAATATATGGATATAAAAAAACGCAAACCTAAAAAGGAATATAGAAGCAATCTGAAGGAAAGACTTATAAAATGATGATTCTTAATGATGTGGTCCTCATCCCAGTTATATTTAAAGTCAAGAAAAGAGAAGATGGGGGATTGTGACATTTTTTAATCCTTTACTGACACAAATTTTGTGCCTTTAATTTTTATTTTAATGTCACATGTTCAACTTCATAATTTAAAGCTTTTTGAAGTAAGAAAAAATTAATTCTTCAAAAAGTAGGTCCTACCCGGATTCGAACCGGGGTTGTCCGGATCAAAACCGAAAGTGATGACCACTACACTATAGGACCAATAATAATTGAGAGCTTAAAAATTATTGTTTTCTAATCTAAAATGGAGTAGTTGAATATTTGTATTGATTTCGGATTATAACATAATACGAAGAAGTGGAGTAATCAATAAACAAAGGATTTGCGACACTGTCACAAACAAGAACGTATATAAAGAACTAGATAGTTATCATAGCTACATAAACAAGTTCCCAAACTAAAGGGGACAGACTTAATTATTATTACAATATACAACTTAATATATTAATCAGTATATCTACCTTTAGCTTATACTAATATATTAGAATATAGTACACATATTACTTCTTTAACTAATATAATACTTATTCACTATTATATAATAACCGGTCAAAACAATACATATTGTTGTATTGTTTGATCCGGAATATTAAATATTAATGTATTAAGTATTTCTTTATCTACAGATGACACCCCAATTAGTATATAAAGCGACACTGTCGCATTGCCATAACTATTTGCTACCAAAACAAAAGATCATATCATCATATCATTATTTAATATAAACAACTAAGTATTATTATATAAACTTAATAATAAGACTAATATAGATAATAGTTATATAGTTACAATACGTCGTTGGCCTATTGAACATTATTTCTAATAAATATATTCCGGACAAAACAATACAATATTTTTGAAACTTACTTTAAAAAGACAGACCAGACTAAAATATATCTGTTTTTTCTTCTTCTTCCTTTTTTTATTTTCCTAATTTAACTGTAAGTTCAATATCTTGTTTTGAGAATCTAACTTGTTTCTTTGATTAATAGTTATAGTACTGATAAGTTTGATTTATCTTATCAGAACTATAAGCTGCTGTAAACTATATTCTAAAAGATGAGATTTTAGAGGCAATATTTTTGCTTTATTGATCCTATAAACTACACTGGGATTATCATAAAAAGTTTGGTGCTGGTACAATTCGAACAAAATTATGTGACAATTTGTATTCTTCTTTTCATAGTGGATAAAATTGTAAGTCAACTCGTAATGCAAATTCAGTGACATCGCTGAACATATAGATACTGCGGGGGCAATAAAAAACGGATTCAACTCTTGGACATACACAAAAATACATGAACACTGAAAGAGAGGTTAAGCTATAACAGTATACATAATAATTTAGAAGTAGTGGAACCTCTATTATAAGCGCAAGTGACATGACTGTGTCAGTAATAATATTTGGTATCAGGATAAATCATGCGCTTTTGCAAGCAAAGCAGGATTACATTGATCACGATCTCTTCGAGGATTTGAATGATACATAGGGCAATGAACATGTAAATACAAATATGTGATTGAAAGCAATTGACTTCAGTATGATATGATTAACCATCAGAACAAGATAACGAAACAAAAATAAAATAAAAGATGTCAGCTCACAACAAACTTCATTTTTGGAGAAAAATTAATTATTGGTTTAGAATATGTTTCTTTTTCAGCTCAACTGGCGGTAACAAGAAGAACATTACTCTGGAGTAAAGGTCTAATATATATTTAAATAAATTTTTCTTACGTTAACTTATTTTTTGAATTTCGAAGAATCATACAAATCTTAATGCGCTTTTCTAGTTTCGAATAGTTTTACTCCTTATGTCGCAGCACTTACCAAGTCATTAATCTTCGGTAAAAGTGGTTTATGTCAGTCTACATTTACTTTCTCTAACACGAGAACGCACCACTTTAGGCATCTACAACTACTACAACATTTTAAACCATAGAACCTCCTTTTATAGATAGAGCTTTGTATGTCAAATACTTCGAAATCCTACCAGAATCCACTTTAGAAGTCTAAATTAGGCACTGATCTAAAGAAGAAAGAGAAAGATCCAAAAGTCAGGTGATCTTAGTTTGCCTTCTTTTACTTCTTATTTTTTTCCTACCTTTTTCTTTTCGTAGCTCGTTCAAAAGAAGAAATTCACAAAACTGCATGTACCAAACAGTGCCACGGAGGTCTCTTTGAATCTCGTTTCTCAATTAATAATCAAAGCACCTTTCCGTCATTGACATCCGAAGTGCGATGTACTGTTGTTGACAAGACATGCTGCAAAGTGTTCTGATAGACACATCTCTCGAGCACCGTAAAAAGAAACGTCAGTTCCTCCCTGTCCCGTTTCTCGAGCTTTTCTTTTTTTCTCTCTCTTCTGGTTTCGGGCAAGAAAAAGAAAAAGAGAAAAAAGTAAGTAAAGCCCAATTGTCGAATCGAATTTTTGTTCATTAAGGAAACGGCAAGAGTTGGGTTAATTATTTATTCTCATAGTATGATACTTACTACATTTTTGATTTAATAGTAAGAAGGAAGGTAAAAGATTAATGGTATATTTGAAATGTTCGATAATAAATCTAGTAGCTTTTCCAATTGTTTGGGATTTTGTATTAATAATCTCAAGAAAATTGGTCGGAAGCTTGCTCGGGTTTTCCAGATATCATGAAGTTCAAGGTACTGAAAATACTTAACTCTTTGGGTTTCATCTCATTTTCTTTTAAATAATTGAAGCATTTTGTTTCTTATTTTATTGTCGGTAATATACATATATAAAGGGGAACTAGTTGTGTCTTGATCTTGAGTTTATCAATTTATGTTTTCTTCTTTTGCATTGCTTGCTTGTTTACTATTTAGCCTTAATTAGTAAGTAAGATCAATAACTCTCAATATAACAAGACGAAAAAATGCCTTTTGTTAAAGATTTCAAACCAATTGCCTTAAAGGACACTAACTTATTCAAACCAATTAAGATCGGTAACAATGAATTGAAGCATAGAGCTGTCTTGCCTCCATTGACCAGAATGAGAGCTCATCATCCAGGTAATGTTCCAAACAAGGAATGGGCTGTTGAATATTATGACCAACGTTCTAAGAGAGAAGGTACCATGTTGATCACCGAAGGTGTTTTCCCATCTCCACAAGCTGGTGGTTATGATAACGCTCCAGGTGTTTGGTCTGAAGAACAATTAGCCGAATGGAAGAAGATTTTTGCTAAGGTTCATGAAAACAAGTCCTTTATCTGGCCTCAATTGTGGGTTTTAGGTAGACAATCTTATGCTGACACTTTGGCTAGAGATGGTTTGAGATATGACTCTGCCTCCGATGAAGTTTACATGTCTGCTGAACAAGAAGCTTTGGCTAAGAAATCTAACAACCCTCAACACGGTTTGACTAAGGATGAAATCAAGCAATACATTAAGGAATACGTTCAAGCCGCTAAGAATGTCATTGGTGTCGGTGCTGATGGTGTTGAAATCCACAGTGCTAATGGTTACTTGTTGAACCAATTCTTAGACCCAATCTCTAACAAGAGAACCGATGAATACGGTGGTTCCATCGAAAACAGAGCTAGATTTACCTTGGAAGTTGTTGATGCTGTTGTTGAAGCTATTGGTCATGAAAGAGTCGGTATCAGATTCTCTCCTTACGGTACCTTCGGTACCATGTCCGGTGCTTCTGATCCAAGTTTGATTGCCCAATACGCTTACGTTGTTGGTGAATTGGAAAAGAGAGCTAGAGAAGGTAAGAGATTAGCTTACATCCATCTGGTTGAACCTCGTGTCACTGATCCATTCTTAACTGAAGGTGAAGGTGAATACTTGGATGGTACTAACGATTTCGTTTACTCAATCTGGAAGGGTCCAATCATCAGAGCCGGTAACTTGGCTTTGCACCCAGAAGCTGTTAAGGAAATGGTTGAAGACGATAGAACTTTGATCGGTTACGGTCGTTACTTCATCTCTAACCCAGATATCGTTGATCGTGTTGAAAAAGGTTTACCATTAAACAAATATGATAGAGACACTTTCTACGCTATGACTCCTAAGGGTTACTTAGACTACCCAACTTACGATGAAGCCATCAAGATGGGTTGGGACAAGAACTAATTAACTTAAGCTCTGATAAAGGCTTGATGTAGTCACCCTTACGCAATTTAATGTTATGATATTTTAGTAAAGAGAAAAGGATTTTATATATTTAAATAGTTAGTACTTTTAAAGCCATAAAAACGCATTCCTCATCAAAAAAATAATTGATGTATTTCGTAAAAATCCCTCCTAATTTAATATTTTGCTGAAAACTAATTTAATTTTGATCATGTCGAATAAAACCTCTCAAAACCTTAAATATGACTAACTAGACTCAGACGGCTCTTTCATTGCTAAATTAGTGAAGGGGGGTTGAACCATCTCGTGAAATTATGCAATCTTGCTCAAAATAACTTAAGGAATAGTATTGAACGATATTGTTTCATTATCAAGTTGGTGAAGAACAGAATTGCTGAAATAATCTTATAACGAACAATTCTTATCTTATCGTTTCTATAGTTTTTGAGGACACCGGATCTTTCTCTAAGCAACCAACCAACATACGCTTAATTAAATCATTGGAATGACTAATTTGGTCAAAAACATGGCCCATACATATTTATAAATTATATATAAATGTAGATGCTAAAAGAAATTATGATAGATATCATATGGATTAATTGGTCATTGTAGCTAACCCATTTTAACAATTTAACTTTAACTTTAAGAATTGAGTGACTATTAGAAAAATGTCAAAGGTCGTAGTATTAGGAGGAGGTGTCTCAGGACTAACTACTGCTTTGACTTTAGTAAACAAATTTAAGAATGAAATAAATGAACTAACTGTTGTTTCATCTGAATTTCCTGGTGATTATCATGCTCATGATTATACTTCACCTTGGGCCGGTGCTAATTGGGCTAGTTTTGCTAAAGGTAATGAGCCAGAACAGATTAAGCGTGACAGCCTCACCTATAAGAAATTCATGGAGCTAGCAGACACTGAACCTTCAAGTGGTATTAAAAAATTTCCATTGAAATACTTCATTCGCAAGAATGATATGATTCCTTGGTATATTGAAGGAAAGTTTGTAAGAGATATTGAGTATCTATCAGACGACGAGTTGATTACGAGGAATTTAAACCCTGAAGAATATATCGGAATTCAATTCACCACTGTAACAGTGACACCAATTATTTATAATAACTATTTAATTGGGTTGCTGAAGAAGAGTGGGGTTATCATCAAAAGGATCCCAAGAATCAATGATATTGAAGATATTATTGACGTGCTTGGATATAAACCAGATCTTTTGATCAACTGTTCAGGGCTAAATGCTGGTAGACTATTAGAAAACCTTGATCCAGAAGAATTGTCCAAAGTTTATCCTATTAAGGGCCAAATTCTTCAAGTATATCAAGACTTACCTTTCCAAATGATGATTGACAAGTTGCCCTTATCTGATCATGCCTTGCCTGATCAATTTCTTAACGTATTCCCAAGAGGTGAAGGTGGGTGTATAATGGGAGGAATATTTAGGGGAAACGATTGGTCAGATCAATTGATAGAAGGCCTCTCTGAAAGCATAATTAATGTTGTGAAATCACATATTCCTGAATTTACAAGTTTATCAGTTTATAATACATACACTGCATTGAGACCTGGTAGAAAAGGAGGAGTACGTCTCGAAGATTCGAATTACGATCTATTAAGACACGATGGCTCACTACGTGTAATACATAATTACGGTATAGGCGGTGCAGGATACCAATCTTCGATAGGCTCCGCAGAAGAAGTCTCCTCTTTAGCAGCTAAAATACTAAAATAAAAGGAATTGAAAATATATGAATTTCTATAAATGCCTATGTATGAAATGAAGTTTATATACCCTTCAGGCAGAATTAAATAATGCAAAAGTAATAAGTATTAGTTATTCTTTATTCTTCCCTTTTTCCGAAAACATTCATAATGCTGTTCAATGAGTTAGATCTTCTACGAGAAGAATCTGTTTGGGAATGAGGAACTTGGAGACGGTTTTGGACCGTTGTATCCCTACTATCTATGCAATCTTCACCATATGGTGTCATCCCGAATGAAAAATGTTTTGAAGCAGTATTGTTCTTTGGTAATGATGGGGAAGATAGAATCGGTAGTGTAAATGATCCCCCAGTGCTATGTTCAGCTAATGCATTTAATGAAGTTGATGAACTATTATTACTTCTGCTTAAGAAATTTCTAATAGATGAATTTCTGTTTGAGCTGCCTTGAGAAGATATGGAGGTACCACGGTGTCTTACCATTTGAGGCTTCTCGATTGGCTTACTATGTTCAGAGTTGCCGGTGGATGGGTAAGCTGGCGGGAATTCTGGCGCAACGCTAGGATTCTTCATTGCTTTACCATAGGAAGGCACTTTACTTAAGGACTGTATTTCCCAATCAATTTTTGGTGATGAGGATGGAGCTTGATTTACAAAGGAATTTGCTCGGGATATATGGTAGAATGCTGGTGTAGGATCTGGACTATTCTCAACTACATGAGATGGTACATCTTCTAAAGAAATCAGAATATTAGGAGTGCCTTCAATATTGTTTGAAATTGAACCTGGGAGGTAGGAAATACCTAATCCACTATTATTGGAGTTGTTAGCTCCAATTTCATTATTATCTAAACTAATCTTATCCAAGCTAGCTTTCAACTCATCCATTGACTTAGCAGATGTCAGATTTGTCAAATTATTGCTACTATTATGCGGGGTTGTTAAATTGGAGTTACTTGCAATAGTCTCTATTTCGCTGTTATTATTCCATAAACGATCATAAACATGATTCTCATACTGCGGAGGGGTCATCAAATCTGGTAAACTTTTAGATGAGATGACTCCTACAGAGTTTGCCCTAGATCCAAATCCAGAAAAAATCTCATCTTCATCATCACCTTCTGGCTCAATAACTCTTAAATGCTGGTCCTTTTTAGCTTCATCAAGTACAACATGTCCCGTATCTATTAAATCTTCTGATTTCACTCCTAGTGAAATGAATGGTGATATATATAACTGGACAGTTAAAGAAGCTCTTAATTCCGATATATGGCCATCGGGATTGATTAATGATATAATGAACTTAAGCTTATGGCGAACCTTTATGTTTTTTAAAACATTACAATCTTGGGTACATTTAGAAAGGCTAGCTGGGATTTGAAATTCTGCTGTGATATCCCAAGCATCTTGGTAATCCATAGGTGGCACGCTGTTTGGAATATTTCTACCTTTTAACTTGTTGCTGAATAATTCAACATGTCCTAATGGATCCTTAATCTTCAACTTTGTAATTAGTCTTTCTTGATATGTCACTGGTGAGTATGAACCACAGTATTGGGAATTCTCTATTAAATTTATCTTTATGGGACCTAACTGTAAACCTTTAATTAACGGAATCAAGTGCATATGTATTTTCGTTGTAGAACCTATGGCAATAGCTCTTGCAGGCACAGATATAGAATATTCGACTTTATCTGGCCAAATATTATCAACTGTTATGGTTTCGGATAATTCTACTGCATCAGGCGTTTGAGTACGTACAATTCTTAAACGTTTTTCACACATTAAATCCGTACTTCCCTTATTTCTTTCTATGGTAGCATGTAATTTGTAAACAACTGAAGCATTAGGTAAACCTTCCACACTTTCATTAATGGAACCGGGGAGAATTGCGCTAAATGGAAATTCATAATTCCCTTTAACTAAAGTGTGATAATTTGATGAATTTAATGCATTTCCAGCTAACGAACTTAAAGATAAAGTGGATTTGTTATCCTTTTTTGAAGCTGCTAAATTTTCTGATGATTTACTAGCGATTGAAGTTTGTTTCCCATAATTATCGTACAAATTTTGGAAATAGTTTTGAATATTAATATTATCCCAACAATGTTCATAAAACCTTCTTTCGAATTTGTTATATCTAACTTCCTTTGAATTAGAATTCTTACGAGGGCCCGGGATATTTAAACGCAATCTACCATATAATCTTAAATAAACGCTTCTAATTTGTATAGGTTCCAATATAGATAATACAATTTTACCTGATAGAAATACTGAAGAGGCAGTATCAGGAGGTCCTTTCAATAATATAACGTCATTCTCGGTGTTATTTAATCTGATATCGAAAAGAATTGGTTGTTTTGAAGATTTTGAAGTGGTAAACATAGTTCTGACTCAAAATAACCACAATGGAAATGAATATATGTATATATTTATATATTTCAATTAGAATTTAAATTCTAATTGACTTGATAAATATCAATATTAGCTGTTATGACTAACAAAGATGAACCGTATTATTATATGTAGTCAGTTCAGCGTATAAGTCAAGTCCTATTATTAGATAACAAAAAAACGAGTATATTAAATCGACAACTATTTTAACGTCAAGGAAACCCTAACTTAGCAAATCAACTTAGATATTGTTTATCCAGTAGATTCCCCAAATCAAAAATCTAATTTGAGTTTAATATAATCAGAATTTTACTTTATCCCTCCCTATTTCCAATTATATGTATTAAATCCACTTCGATTTCAATTCGATTTCGATTTCGATTTCGATTCGATATATAGTGAAATTTTGATATCGAGATATTTCAAAGCCTAGAAGAAAAGACCAAAAAAAGTATAGAGATATATACAGAAAATGTACAGAGTTTAAGCTTAAAATGGAAAAATGAAATGGTTAAAATGAAGTGATGTTTACAGGTTATATAATGACTACAAAGCTATATAAATGGTTGATTTATTGTTATAGAATATTCACAAGTGAATTAATTGATTTATTAGTTATGTATTTAAAGTATCCTGAAAGGATAAATATTCGTTAAAAGAGGAAAAACTGGGAGAATAGGCGACGGATAAACTTTTTATCTGTTTCAAGAATGTACATAATTTGAAACTTTGCATTAAGTTGGTATAGTTAATTTATTCTTGATGTGCATATAATATTTTTTTAATTGTTCTTTTCGTAGGAATTCGATATGCAGGTTTGTATTTCAACTTCAGATGCTATAGGAAGACTGTGCCTTCCTTGGACTGCTCGTGCTATACTAAAACTTATTAGCAGCCAAAACTACAGAGAAAAGTTCAGGGAGAGTAACTGATATAAGAGATTAATTCAATTCAAATTTCTTATTTGAACACTTTATGTATATGTAAGTAAACTGTTTGTTAGTTTGCTTGTTTGTTTGTATGTTTATCCCTTGACATTAACTAATCAAACGGCCAGCATGTATGTGCTCATGGGTATTCTTTTTTCGTTCCCTAAACATCTCTCCCTCTCTTGTTAATACTTCGAGGGGTCCACACAATTGGGGTGAGTTTTAAAATTTGAACAAGATTGCTTCCTACATTAACTAATTTAAAAAAAAAACATTTAGGTGATAGTTGTTAAAAATCTTGTGGAAGGATAAATTGGTTTTGATTCTGTCCAGGTAATATTCGCTCCCTATAAATGAATAAATGAGTAATTTTTACAATATTAAGTTTTTGCAGACACAGCTAAGGTTAATTGGAGAAGAAGATGGGAGAAGTACTTCTTAGGATTATTTTTATTCTTATAATTTCTATATATGTTCTATCAGGTGTTGTACTCAATTTTCTTGAATCAGTTTACTGGAGTGCAAATGGAGGTTAGTTCGTTTTTTGTTTCTTTTTTCTTATGTTTTTTTTCTAGCTTAGCTTACTTGTTTGTTGTATTTAGATATGAAAGCTTTCATATCTAAATATATAATAAATACTCGATTTATCACAATTATTAGATTTGGATATAAGTATTTTTTAACATCCAATAGGCTGAAAGCTCATTTATTGAAAATCGAAACGGAGTGGAAAAAAGGCTACTATGATGGACTGACTGCACTCTTCGACATTCAATCGCACAAATCTTCCTTAGTAAAATTAGATATGTACTATTAGTGATATACTATTCATTTAGTAAATATTATATCACCTTGATCTCACTTTTGAATCGATTGACTATTCCATATTATTCTTAAAATGAAATGAAATCTAATGAGATTTTTGGTTGTATCACATGATTATGTCCGTTTATCACGTGTTTTCTTTCAGAGAAAGGTCAATTCATATGTCAGGAAATAATTACGATATTTTTGATATATTAGATCGTGTCTGTAATTCAGTTCCATGAAGATGCTTTAGTTGACTGCTTGATAGGTAATTTTACACATATTATTATATAAAATCCTCTTCTAAATCTTGGATTTAAGAAATAGATTGATCTTTATTTAAGGAGGGATTTTTATTAGACATTTCGGTATCAAAGTTCGTGTCTGAAGTGGACTCAACCGAAGATAGAATTCTTAAATCTTAAACTACTCAGGTAAGGTTTATATTAAGCCTTGAATAAATTTTCTTTCTTGAGTTCAATCTAGCTAAGTACTAGGAAAATAAGAAAAATGCTTAGGAACTTCAATTGAAATCAAATCGTTGTACATTATGTTATATTCAGCTTCATTTTCAAACTGTCATGTTGAAAATTTCTACTACTCTAAGAAAGAAATTCAATGGTATATATCCAACGTTGAAAAGCCATGTTCCAAATGTGGAATTTTAGTATCAAAATCAAATGGGTGAGCCTTGCATTTAGCACATCATGGATATTTTTCTCTTCTCAGACAAATGTACCTACACATTATATTTGGCAGTAGAGTAAAGGTGCCTAAACCATGGGTCCAAAAATGGTAGATAAAGACTTAACTTCTATATTAAAACAATGTCGTAATGGGCAGTAACCAGATTATTCAGAAATATGAATGACACTATGAGTTTGAATGGTATTATGATTGTATAGGAGAGATAAAGGTTTTAGAATTAACCTCAATAGAATTTTTAAAGTATATTTTAACAATAATTAACAGAAAGTGCATCTTGGTAGCAACAACATTTCCTTCGTATTCATTGTATTTTTAAGTAAATCTGGGGAACAGTATTTTCGAAGGGATCTGATTTATATTTTGTTAAGCTATTTTTAAAAAAACTCGGAAAGAGATTGATATAATAGAAACAAAATATTAAATTAAATTAGCTTTAAAAATAGAAGAAAAGTACTTCATTCTTTTATATTTTAGAATTTATTAATTAATTATAGTCTATCTATTATACATTGATTAAAATATTAAATACAGTTCCATTTTATCAAAATTCTGTGTGTATCTAACCATTTTTACAATTGCTAAAATGTGGGATAATGACAACGTACTTAATAGTGTAGATATCGCCAATAAATATAAAAATGATTAAATCTATGACAAATGTCTAATAATTTCATTAGATTAAAGGTCTCCAATGAGGACATGAATTATTACACTGGAAATAAAGGTTGTGAGGAATTTTTTTAATGTGACGTATGGACGTCAGCCTTTTGTAATAGAATGATTTCAATACTCTTAAAAATCAAAGTAAGCATAGTCAATTATGGAATAAAAATAAATTCACTATCACTGCCTTCTTAATATGTTTAAACCCAAGTATTACCATACCCTTTGGTTCTATAAATTAGTTGACAAACTTTTCTTCTGCAATTGCAAAAATAGGTTTTGATTTTTCCTTTTTATTATTGAGATGTATCACCTCAAAAATAAACCCAGATACATACAATTATTAGACCTACAATTATTGTCTTTTTTTCAAAACATAAATAAAATGTTTCCCAAGATTTTTCATTTTCCTTAAGAAGTCTACATCATTTATATAAAATATTTCTTAAATCATTTAGTTAATCAATATGTCTTTTATAATTTATCTAATGTTACGTAATTTTTTTAATGCTATTTAATCCCTATCTATTTTGGTGCAACGTTGTAACGCATTCTGATACCCATAGCGTTCAATTCAGAATCCAAGTATTTCAAAACAAATGGAATTGCAACTGTAGTAGTTTCACCACCACCAACAAATTTGTTACCTTGACCATCTTCCCAAATTTCTGAATCGTCAATGTATATTTTTTCATCATCAGTTTGGTATTTAGATAAAGATTTCTTTGCTTCATCAAAATCAATTGCACAACGACGACAACGAACTGTTGAGACAGAACCAATTTTCGGTACACTTTGTTGTGTAGTTAAGATAGAACCACACTCACGACAAACTGCAGTTTGGGTATAATCAGAACAGTTTAATAAACGATCTTGTAATAAGAAAGATGTACCGTGACCAATCAACGCATCTCTTTCCATTTCACCAACACGAATACCACCATGTCTTTTTCTACCTTTAACAGGTTGCATTGTCAAACTGTTGACAGGACCTGTAGAACGTACTTGGAACTTATCGTTAACCATGTGACGCAATCTTTGATAGTAAACAACACCGACGTAGATATCAGCTCTTAATTCTTCACCAGTAGCACCAGAATACATCGGTTCATTACCATGATAATTGTAACCGGCGTTCAATAATTGATCACCGAAATAATCAGCTGGAGTATCACTTTCGTCGAAAGTCCATGGAGTAGCATCATGAGCAGTACCATGTAAAGCACCTGCCTTACCAGCCAAAGATTCAACGAACATACCGATGGTCATACGAGATGGGAAAGCGTGTGGGTTAATGATGACATCAGGTTGAATACCAGTTTCACTAAATGGCATATCGATAGTTGGCCATTTTCTTGAACAAACACCTTTTTGACCGTGTCTTGAAGAAAATTTATCACCGATTTGTGGAGTTCTTCTAATACGATATTTAATAGACACAGTTTGTAGTTCTTGAAACTTGTTGGACTCATCACCAATTAAATTAACTTCTTCAATATATGCTGGTTCTGATGAATGGTAGGTTTTAATCTTGGTTTTATTCAATGTATCATCAAAGTATGCACAAATTGGGTCACCTTCTTCAACATAAGTACCAATATATGGTAAACCATCTTCATCTAACTTTTCTAACCATTCCTTTGGCCATTCATCAGGACCAAATCCGAAATGTTGAGTAATTGGGTCACCACGACTTCTGTTCATTGATAAATCAACCTTTTCAACTTTATACATTGTACCATAACCAAAACCTCTTTCATCAGCAGATTTATTGATTATCATTGCGTCATCCATATCGTAACCAGTATAGGAAATAACGGCAACAACAGCGTTGGTACCATTAGGAAAGTTATCCATACCATAATCATCATATAGATTAGCTTT